ACGCCGGCGACTCTGAGGGCCCCATCGGCGGCTGAGATTACCGTGCCGGTCTCTGAGGACCCACAGGGTTTCTGAAGGTACCATCGGCCTCTAATGGCCCTTTGACGGCCTCTGAGGTCTCTGAGGTAAGTTGCCGGTTTCTGGAGCCCCCTGCCGGTTTGTAAAGGGTACGGGCCAGCAGCTCTTAGGGTCCCACACCCGTCTACGACGGACTCATACCAGTGTCTGCAACTTAGCGTCTTGTTCGCCCGCAACTTAGCGTCTAGTATCGACCCCCGCCGAAGTTAGTTGGTAGCACTGCTGCTCCACGGCGTACATTTCCTACCAGCCCATAGGGTTTACATGTTAAATGGCCCGTTTTCGGCGAGCGATATCTTGGTCAACCTTTGAAGGAATCAATGGTTCTTAGTCTCAAATGATAGATCGATGAATTTTCTTTCGACAATTCCTCTACCATTTTTCACGAAACCCAGCCGATCTTCTACGGCGTACAGGGTAAAGATTTCTCTGCACGCCAGCACCCGCGATCCGCCTCTCCGATCGTCGGCGCTCGGTCCTCGGTAGCGCGGTCGGTAGCGTATCGGGCTACGGATCCGAGGGTCGTGAGTTCGAATCCTGGGAGCGCCTCATGATTTTGGCTGGAATTGAATGATGTAGATTCTTTAATGTTTGCATAATCAATTATTAATAGCGAATTGAATGTATCTGCCCACTAATTGGCCCCTAAAACCCGTTATTTAAGAAATTTAAGAAATGAATGTCACGTGCGCGTCACGACTGCCGACCATAAGCGCTACCATTTTCTAGTTTGAACAAGTTTTTGCTAGTCCCGACCACACAGTAGGTTTTCTAGTAATTATACTAGAAATTCCTACCAAAGTTCGTCCTACCCTTCACTCCATATACCCTGTCTAGTACCGCCTTGTTCTTAAGACTTAGGGGAGACCCGGGAGGTATGGGCCGGTTTTGTGAAATGGTTATTTTCTTCCAGTGGGCAGTGGCCAGATCTGGTTTTTCACTCTGTACGTGATATCGCCATTCGCCTGTAAAGTGTGCCTGTTATTAGGCACCTGGGATCAGGTATTTTGTCTCGAGATAACTATCAATATATCATGCGCTTTTTCGATCCATCAAAATGCACCGGGAGGTATGTGCCGCATATTTACGTCTGAACATCGAGTTGCGGGGAAAAGTGCTGATTTTGTTGCAGTTTTAGGAGCCGGTGATAAGGCTGGATTTTTGGATTACTTTTTCGTTCCGATTCATGTATTTCATAGTGTTTGGCTTTTGAATATTTTAGTTCTTTCAGATAAATATTACTTGCCTTACAACTTTAGTAAAAACGTTTAATTTTTTATAAGCCGACGTTCAGATTCCTAAAAATACATCAGCACTACAATCATTGTAAACAAACAAATGGAGCACCACTTGGCTCTGTTCCAAGGCTATTTTTAGTTTATCTGGTGGTTTTCTTACTCTTGTACGTCGTTTTGTTGGATGTTTTGAATATTGACTTATATCATATTTAAGAAGCATGTTGACTGAAAACAATCCGAAGTATCCAGGAGGCTGACAGAGGTCCTGACTCCTGAGCAATATCAATAATCAATATCAAGTTGAACAAGTTATGAAATTTTAGTTGATAAACGCAAGGTGATCGGGCTCATATATCAGCAAGAAAAAGCAAAATTAAAAGAGCTTATTGGCCAAAAACAAGCTATAATATTGCAGACCTTGGAGCAATACCTACTGAAGAGCACGCTGAGCAGGATCATGCCAGAAAATGTTGACTGGTGAGCGCATATTGATGTATTGGTATGGATCAGGGGGCGACACGACTATTCACGCAATGTATTCATTTGCGGGCCCCGCGGAGCCTCGCGATGACGCGGCTGGAGGCAACCACTCAGCGCGCTAGGATCCTTCTGGCGGGGCCGGGCGCCGTAAGGTGTGCAATGAATGGGCGGGCAGACAGAGATGAGGTAGGTATTGAATTTACATCATGAGCAATTGGATGGGGAGAGAGAACGTTTCTAATGGAGCTCGGGATGGGGGAAAACTAAAAATATCACGGTCGGTTCAGTGCTCCGACGGGGCCGGGCGCCGTACGGTGCGTAGTAATTTAGACGGGCAGACAGAGATGAGTTATCGGATTCGGCTCTCTGGTGGGATTTTATGACGTTTTTAGTTAAGCTCAGGGTGGAGCAACCCGCTGGCGATTGCAAGGGAAGGCATTTGGGACAAATGTTATCCCCCACAGGCCCACATCCGGGGCAGCGTCCGAAATCGTTTTTCGAGAACAAAACGAAAACTTCACAACTTTTATGAGGAAAAGTTTATTGATCGAACTGCACAGTAGTGCGCAAGGAATCGAAATCCGATGTTTTTTTTTTTAATTCACAGAAACCTTTTTTGGGGTAGGTATATGCCCCCCGATGTGTTCCTGGATCCGCCAGTTAAGAATATGTCACGGTCGATTATCGAGCTTCGGCGGGACTGGGCGCTGTATGCGTCGTACCTACAATCAGGGGGTGTCGAAGTCTAGTAGGAAAATCTGGCAAATTCCCTGCGTGACGTCACGTCGGGGATGACCGACGGCACCTTGCACTGAAAGATACGGCAGAACGGCTATTTTTGAAAAATGATTAAAAATACTTTTGTGCTGTTATGACGCATAAAACGCTTATCAGCATGTTCCTCATCATGTGATAAAGGCATATCCGTGGTCGAAAATAGCTGAGCCCCTCCCAATTTCCAACCACCAACCTCATAAGCAAAGGATGTAAGCGTAATCCTTAAGGGCGACTTTCCTATACATATCCGTACATATGCGTCCTTATGGAAATCGATAGTGTGGCGATTGGCGACGCGCGCGACATCTGTGTGGCGACCAAGTGGCGACTGTGGCGACACCTGGTGGCTGCTTTTCTGCTGTATGTAGGCATTGGGGTTTTGCCAGATGTGGTTCCTACTGCTACACCACTATGTTGACCCAATACTAGAAAAGTTATTTTGCTAGTAAAAGGCAAGCAAATTGAAAGTTGATTTATAAAATTGCTTATAAATGATTACGAGATAATAATAAAGAAATTTTGATTGAATAATTATTTAAATAATCAACCGTGAAACTATATTCTGGTAGGTTTAGTAGAAATAAGTCCGTGCAACCTTGTATTTAGGGCCTTGCCTACAATGAAGAGGCGTACAGACACCTCACCCCACATCCTACTGCTCTACCCGTGCCTCTGGGTGAAGCACAAGCATCACGGAAGCCCACAGGACCTGCGAGTCGATGAGGTGGCAGCCGGATACTGCAGCTCCCCGGAGTTGCCCGGGACCGAGGGTTTAACAGTAGTAATTTTCACTGGTGGTGAATCCTCGTAATGTAGAGATAATATCCTCAAGGACCTCCGTTACGATTTTATATTCCTAAACAACATGGCACACCAATTATGCTTGCTTCGTTCAGGCATCATCCCTGATGCTTATCCGCCCACTACAACATGTGTTGTCTGTCAATCAACCATCGCTCGACGACGGGATCAATTCTAACCATCGGTTTTCGGTTGTCAATTCACTCACCCCGTTTCCCTAAAAATGGACGGGTCAGACTCGGTCTGGGTCTTAACGAGTCCTAGAATCGCCAGAGACGGGATCGGGTCGCCGTTATTGCACCGCTCTTGGCGTCTTTTGGTACTAGTAGACAGCTTCGACCACGGACGTCGGACCGTTCTACGAATGTACGCACCATCCAGGCCTAAGATGCGTCGAGCTTTATAAGAATGCAGTCTAGATCAATCAACTTAACAATGGTGGCATGCAAACGCTTTAAAATCTCTCCCCGGCTCCCGCAGTAGTAAAGGAATCTTGCCCGCAACGTCCCAACGCTCCTCCGTTACACGCTCGCTCGATGCGTCCGCCGAGCCGGCTTGCCTCCAATGACGTCATCGGCCGGCCGGCGGCGTTCAAGGTCAAACGGCTGGTGTCCTTACCTGGAGTTCTATAGCCTTGGTATGGATATTGAATGATAACTTACAACAGCAAGATAAAGTAGTGCTAACTTTCAAGTTAAAAATCTAGAATGAATGGACTTGGGCAGCTTAGATGCTTCATGCTATGCAGATTGTAATGTGCATCAGGTACTCAGTGTCTGGCAAATGAAACATGCGATCATTCTATTGCTACTAGAAAGCTTGGATCACTAAATCCACTTTATGTTGATTTTGTTGTTAATCATCACTGTATTTCTTGAAAAAAAGGATTATAGTAGAACTGTCAATGTGACAATCCATGCAACGATGTGATCATATAATGTGTTCATAGTCATTCGTGATAGTGATTATTGGTCCAATATACAATGGCAAAGCTCTCGTCTCAGCGTTTCTTCCTGTGGATGGCCAGCAGTGACTCAGAGCTTAGAAGTATTAGTTTTCTTCACAGGGCTGGGATAAAAAGTACTGAGGGTAATCTTCCACCAAGGAACTCTACTTTGACATAGTATGAGATGTATGCACAAGTAGGTAGGTGCTTAGTTCCTATAGTCAGTAGTTGTGTATGTTTAGTCGGGTTAGCTTAGATTAGATGGTTAGTTTTTTAATTTGCAAAGTGTCCATAAAAATGTGACCTGAGCAATGAGCATTCTCCTGACTAGCCTGACAGCTGACCTAGCCTCAATCATCACACATATTTGCAGCCTACCCAAGACCTGCATAGCAGTAGCACCCAGTTATAGGTAGGTACTCACCCTAACTCAATCTTACCTGCTAACCTTCAACTTGCCAACAGTTAGCTCACCCACGGTATATAGAGAACTAGGTAAAACCGGTTCGCCGCCACAACACTAAGGTATTTTGACCACTATTTTCAGCTGGCCTTTTCATTCCAAAAAAGGGAACTAGGCCTCATATTTTTATATGTTTTATTATTTACATATATATTATCAAGAAATGTATTCAGGGCAGGACTGGTGTATTTCTGTAAAGTATTTACGAAGATAATTTTGAAGCCGGCCACGCCATTTCGAAAATAATCAATCTTAGGTTGTAGGGATTCTTTAGTAACGAAAATGTGTTTTCATCCTTAAAAATAAAAACTAATAGTGAAAACCTATTATCATAGCCTAATATTGCTTCTTTGAATTTCGAAACCACCATGCTCCCAAAGTTGTCATCCCGCCGGACCTGCCAAAGTTATACCACGAATTCTCGAATAATACCAGTGGTGTGGGTTTCAAATCAGTAGCAGTCAATATCAAAATTGAATTGTCTTTCATATTTTATGTGTGTTTTGCATTTACTAATGCTCAAAACTAGAATTAATCCATGTTGAATACATCACTACCATTGGTGTTCTTTGTCACCCTGTTCCACTAAATTTAATATTGTTTAAAAACAAGACCGAGTCGGCATCTAAATAAACCAACAAAATGTGCAAAAATGCACAGACTATAACATATAAAAGTGTTAAAGCTCAGCTAATTGGGGCTCATTGTCAATTTTCCTTCCAAAGTTGAAATTTAAAGTTTTGGGTACCAAACAGTCTTGAACAAAAACATTCATAGTTGGTAAACCTACCGCAGATGGGCTCATAAAAGGTGTTCATCATAATAAAAATTAAATTTTCTTTCCCGATAAGCATGTTTTATTGCAGTTTCGGTGTCATAAGATATATTTTTTTGGTCTAGAATGTGAGAGCTACCTTGCTGCCAAAAGTCACACTGTAACAATCAATGGAATATTACTAAGAAATAAAACCGAGTCGGCATCTATTTATCGTACAATAATATACAAAATTAAATTTTATATCTGCTGGTGTAAGGTTTTATACAAAATAAATTGGGGCTCAGTACGAAATTCGATGTTCAAATCTGCAGACCATGATTATCACCTGCAGCTGCGCACAGTTTACTGTACTGCTATCGCTAGCGAACGCCAGCGCTCTCATTTGATTGGTTTAACGGCGTGTTCGTTGCTGACGGAGAACATCCCTGATTTTTGAATTTGTTTTGATTAGGCCGATTAGGCACATTGGAATTCGGTTAAAATTCAATTTAAAATTGTGCAGCTTGTTGATGGTAGAAGTTGTGAAGCGCATAACATAAAAGAATTGTGTAGAGATTGTATGGGGTGTTGGCGTTTTTGTAGTTTCCTTTTTCTTGTGCTCTTTTGAGATCTTTGCAGGGGTTGGAAATTTGCAATCACAATGCCACCAGGACACAGTGTTTTTTTTTTTGTTTTCATGCCACAATTATGGGCAACACGGCAGGGCAAAGTTTGCCTCAAGTCCTGGCTCGTTCGTAGCCTTGATTTGCATTCAAGAAAGCAGGTCTGTGCCCGAATGGATGCTGCACATTTTTGATATTCTTCAAAGCAATCGAGGTTCATTTGCCGATGCTGCATGGAGTATGCGAAGCAAAGCAGTGTCATGCTGACGCGGAGACGAAGACGTGAGTATGAAACAGACTACAATACTTGGCAAAAAGGCAAGCAAAATGCATCACTTAGTTCGACTAATCCGCATCATTCTATATCAACCAATCTGGAAATGTGTACCCTCCAGTGTACCAGTATGCCCTGCATAAATGTGGAAGAATTGAGCCAGAGCCCATGCTAAGCGTGAATTGCTGTGTAGACTTACAAACCCCACCATGCACCAGGCATCCTTGAGCATGTGCTGTGTTGTGCAGGTGATTGTGCATTGGTGTTCATGTGCTCCTGGGTGCCTTTTTGGTGGGGGGGGGAGCTCGAGCTGGTTTTAGACTAGCAACATTATTTCTAGACAAGTTATTTGTTGATTTTTTACATTTACTCAAGTTACATTTGGAAAGTCTTACATTCGGAGTACAGCTAGGCACATCAGCCCACCATGGGAGTCTGACTAGTAAAATGTAGTGTTTGCAACCTGTGGTGACATTGAATAAGCCAAATGATATAAGATCGTCATCATGCGCTGCTGTCGCCTTTATTTTCATTGTGTGTTGTGTGGTTCTTGAGTTATCATCCTATCCACCAGGTTGTATCTGGCGGTGGTTCTGGAGACAGCGCGGTTCGATCCAGCTGTGGGCCGGACGTCACCCAGCAGAAATGGCAGCGTGTTATCACCAGCTACGAGGCGCGCATACAGACATTGTCCAGAAACAATCAGGTCATCTCCAGGTCAGTTGTGCATCCCACCGACTCTGTAGGGCAGTGATATAATGCCAATTGTGTTACCTGCCCCCTGATAGGTGATAATGGCGTCCCCCCGTCCTCGGTGAGTGGCGTGATGACTGTGACCGGTCACCGGTCGACCACAGGTCGATCGGGGCCGGTTGTCGCTGTGGTCCGAGAGCCGAGGCGGGCCCAGGGGCGACCTCCTTGGCCGTCTGATGGAGGCGTGGTCCCATACATGCATTTCCCATCAATATATGAATTTATCAATTTATAGGTAAATGGTTGTGACCAATCACTGTTCAACGTCTGCCAATATAACCCGACCTGCATCCTCCTCTGCCCTCCACCCTCAGGCAGTCAGCTGAGTCAGATCTAGGACCAGCTCCAGAGCATGAACCTGTCATTGAGGGTCGGCAGGCACCACCTATCCTTCACTGTACAATCCTTTGGTGTTACAAGTTACAACCAGATTAATTGCTTTATGCTCCACTCAGTCTGCTGTTTGACCATAATGGGCTGTTTGAATGGCATGGCATATTGTGTCATAAGGAAAAAATATAGCATTGCAGTTAAAGGCCTACTTGCATGACTATGCTTCCAGTGAATGCTCTGAATATTTCTTGGTGAGTTAAATAGATTACCTTAGGGATATTCAGCATAGGACTTGAAAATAATATGGTCCCTAATGAGTCATTAACTCTTTACTGTGTTTCAGAGCGCCACGCGACCACGATGGGACTGCCAACGATGGCCTGCTCACCGACAGCTCCCGCCAGCCAACGGGCTTCCGCCAGCCAACGGCGTTCTGCTCGCCGATGGTGGCCCGACGACCGACGGTCGCTCGCCGGCCGAAGGTGATCCGGTAGCCGAACGAGACTCGCCGACCTACGCCGATCGACGCCGGCCCGCCCGCCTACGGCGCCCTGCCAGCCGACCGCGTCCCGCTCGCCGACGGCGTCGATACGCCGGCGCGCGTGTCGACATTGATCAGAAACGATCACATTATGTCCAGGTCAGTAATTGTGTCAACCAACGCATCCACAGGTCAGCTGTGTCCTGCTTCGTTACTAGGTCAGTGACCCTAGGTGGGTTGCTTGGGGGAACTTTATGTGTTGCCGGGATGGGATGTCTGCTAATGCAGGTGCCGTTGCAAGTGTCGTGACGCTTGATGGTCTCAGGCTTGAGCTTCGAGTGAGTGAGAAATGCTGAGTGAGAAATGTGTAATGTGTATTATACAGGCGAATGTACTGTTATTATGGATGAGTGTGCGACAGGGAACGTTATGAGGTATGATTCGTGGTCGCCGTGGCTGGTAGTGGCATTTTACGCGACCGTCGTGACCTGTGACGGCAGCCGTGACTGCTATATGACAGTCGCCGTGACTGTTCTATAACGGCCTTCGTGACTGAAACGTGACGGTCGTCACTCGTCGTGACGTGCCGCGACTCGCTGTTTTGCAGGTCATTAGTCGCGGGCGCTCGAGCTGACGGTGTCGTCTGACGGCTCCACGGTGACCAGCGCCGCCTCCGCCGAGAACATCCGACTCCTGAAATGCTAATGGCCGTACACGAACAAGAGGCTCTAAACATCCAGGTGCAGGATAAGCGCCATGCTCAGAGGCGTCATCTGGAGAAGGCCGCACAGTGCACTTAAGGCTGAGCTCGGGTGTAGTGCGCGCAGACAGATATGATCAACTGACGGGCCGGCCATCAGATTTCAGTACGGAACTCAAGATGATTGGAGCCGACGTGGTTCGGTTGATAGTGTGTCAGGGTTGATTGAGAGTGGAGGCGAAACACCCGGATCTGTGAATGATACGCCGATACGGATCTCGACGTCGTCTCGCAATTTGTGCTATGTAATATGACGGCTATGCCGTGGTATCATTCACTCTCGATGCGCTAATAAATAATAAATAGGACAGAGACCGGAATTAAGATTATTATATTTGGATGTAAGGGGCAGGTTTTGGCCAGCGCTATATTAGAAATCGTGAGCGTGCTAGTTGCAATCAATCGCGCGCTTCTTGCTGAGCATCTGTGAGCGAGAAAATACTTTCTCTGGAACGTTCGTCGTAAAATATGTGTATCTTTGGAATAAGTTGTCAGAACATGAATGCATTTTTGGTGTCCACTGCAGCTGCTGTTCTGGAACAGAAACATGCCGAGATCGGCTGTGTAGGTATGTACTATGTACGCTGTGGCAAAATCAAGCAGCCGTACCATGAATCAAAAGCGATATGTGAATTAAAGTGGATATATTTCACTATTTTTTTCAGTTTTATCATACAGATCACAGAAATGCGTCAAATACTGATCACACCCGGTTCCAAACAACTAAACGCTTGCGATCACTGGAAAGTAAATAAACAATAGATATCCATGTGGCTGCCTGGCGTGATCCGAGACTCTCTCTCTCTCTCTCTCTCTCTCTCTCTCTCTCTCTCTCTCTCTCTCTCTCTCTCTCTCTCTCTCTCTCTCTCTCTCTCTCTCTCTCTTTCTCTCTCGCTCTCTGTTGTTGCTGACGCACACAGGACAACACAGCCGAATCGCGACGATGGAGAGCACGGAACGATGCTGGTGACTGGCGGACCAGCGAAAACAGGAAAGGAGATGAATAGCTCTAGCTCCCGTCTGCGCGCGGAAGGGCTCTGATTGGCGCGGCTCGCTGACTCCATTGGCTCATCAGACTGTTGTTGGTTTCCTCCTTCCCCTCCCACAAGCGTAGCCACTAGTCAGGTAGCTAAGTTGTGCGTGGAAGCGAGCGGCCAGAGCGGCGCTAGGTGTCGCCCTCCCAGCGACCGGGCAGTGCAGCTGGACGTGCCCCGGATGGTCCGCATCTGATCTCGGCACACTCGGCAGAGTGCGACCGGACACTCCATGGAGTTGCATAGCGTCGATAGGCCGTATGGTGTCGCTGTCGTAATTATAAAAGCGTAAGCAGAAGGCTGAAACAAGATATAGAATGCTTTTCTTTACATTTAATATCGCAAAGCACAGCTTTATGCGCTGGCTACGATATGTGCGTGTCGGTTGCGGCAGTAATCATCGAAGAAATATATGATTTATGAACGTTTCTTGATCATAGAATGATAAAACATTGCAATGTTTGCCTGTTGTGAAGAAAACTCCTATACTGCCGCTCTATCGTCCGGAATTATTCGTGTTTGATTACGGCGATTCCGCCACTCTATCAGCTGATTTTTGTTTCCGAGTCACGTGACCAACCGGTGTCTCCCTGAGCTCACCTTGCCAAGCCGTATCCAACTATCCAGGGAAACAGTCAACTGAGGAACTGGCTCATTGGGTGGCTGGTGTGAGTCTGTGCATTTAAAGTGTTTCTTCTCTGAAGCTGCTCTGCACTGCTGTATGTCATGTTAGATGCTCAGAAATGTGGGAAATGATTACTTAGCTACTTAAGTTCTTTGTTAATGCTCGAGACATGAACAAGTACAGATCCTGCAGGGTACAGCTATGAGTTAGGTGCTAGGTGAGTATGTTATGTGAATGTGGATGTGCTGTTCCCTGTTTGACCATAGTAAGTATACAAACAAGCACAGGGTCACAGTTATATTCAATCTCCACACAAACATACAACAAAAACGGCCATATGGCCTAACTCCGAACACACCACAGATAACTTAAGCCTTTGCAGGCACAAAAATGTTTTGATTAACAGGACAGGTATACAATATATCCTCTGTCCTTGGGGGATCTTGCTGCCAAGTTGAGTTACGATGACTTAACTTCAGGATTGATCAACCTTTTCTTAGCCACTGCTTATATACGAGAAAGACCAAATGCTTGTTTCTTTGATTTACAGGACATGTATACAATATATCCTCTGTCCTTGGGGGATCTTGCTGCCAAGTTGAGGTACGATGACTGAACTTCAGGATTGATCAACCTTTTCTTAGCCACTGCATATATACGAGAAAGACCAAATGCTTGTTTGTAAACTGCGTTGAAAATTTAATGATCCACCATCAATTCTGACATGAAGGCACAAATGAAATAGTTCCCTCTCCTTTTGGAATACACAAAGCAAAATATTTAATAAAATTTAGTGGATGGACAAGAGCAATTAGCGTAGCTTCCCCTCAAGTTAACTTCTGGCACTAATGAATTACACTGACGCTTATTCGCTTCATATTTTGTAACAAACGCGCTAAAACTGCAATATAACAGCACTATATGCTTCTTGACAAAATGCAATACAAGTAAAAATTTAGCCCTGATGGCATTCATTCTTGGTGGAAACGTAATTACAAAATATTTTGTAGTAACTATTAAATTCCGGCTGAAAACAGTCCACGGTTTAAAAAAGAATCATTCAAATGACGGTCCATTCTTGCGGTCCTGAAATCGCCACTATTTCCGGCCTCTCCAACGCAACTCGTTGTCCAGACGTAAATATGCGTATGTGCATACGGCCTTGGTATGTGCCATGGCCCGGGAGGCATATGGCCGGTGTCTTATTTCATATTCTTTTCTCGACATTGAGAACAATACTCGTGCTGGGATCTACATTGAGCTGGGTGAGACTAAATGCTTACTTCGAAATATAAGCTGCGTTGCGGCATTGGCGGTTATGTGCGGCGTGTATGCCGCATGATTAGTAAGCGGCGACCACTAAATTAAAAACTCAATAGCTTTGACCTGTTTTCAATGGATAACACTGCATACCAAAAATGTCCATCGCTCTCGTCATAGGATATTTAGATTTAAATAACTAACTTATCTACATCATTGTTTTGAACCAAATTAATACTCAGCCGCGAACGTATAAGGTATAACCCCTTGCCGTTTCGCTCCTGATCAAGCTAGAGCTTCGCGGAAAAAAACGAGCGTGTTGCCCGTGACGAGAGAAAGCCGATGATACCCAATTTTAAGGTCCTAGGTCATCCAGGTCAATGACCCAAAAGGCGGGAAAATTGGGACCTGTTAGAACGTCGTAGTGTGGCTGCTATGGGGTTTTTCGGGGTGCTGATCACGAATATCATGCTAGTTTTGATCACAGATGATGTCTTCATTCATTTAGGCCAGGTCGGGTTAGGTCAGGTCAGGTCAACCAGTAGAGGTCCTGCCAGGTATTTGTAGTAGGTGTCAACCGCCTCTGACAGCCTCGTAACATGTTACGAAGGCACCAAAACCAATGACCTGACCTGACCTTCAGGTGACCTTGACACCCACCCTAATGCATGGGGGCAACATCATATCACATGTTTGAACGCTTGAAACCACGAAAAGACTGCAAACGCGCTGCTAATGCGAGCCGACATACGCTGAATCGCGGTTCCGGCCAAACATGGTCTCGAAAAGTAGGTCACAGGTCAAAGGTCATTTGGGTCAGGGTCATGAAATTTTCAGGGTGGGTGTTAAATTGATCAATGCGAGGGTACTGAAAGTTTCGTCACGATCAGCCGCTTATTAAGCGAGTTATTCGCGAAAAACCTTAGGGGGGTTGATGCCAACCCCCCCCCCCCCCCTGTGCGGGCGAGGTCATGTTTTGATAGCAAGACTGAAACAGACTTTTTTGGGTAGCCAGGAAATCGCATGCTAGAGCCTATTCAAATTCTTTTATCGGCCTTTATATGCACCAGTCGCATACAGGTACGGGATTTAGCATACGATTTCCAGACAATCGAAAGACTGTTTGGAGCCAACAAAGGAAGGAATGAGTGAGTTAACCCTCGCCCGTATAGGGGGGGTCGAACGGACCCCCCCCCCATGGTTTTTCACGAATAACTCGCGTAAAAAGCGGCCGATCGCGACGAAACTTTCAGTACCCTCGCGTTGATCAATTTTACACCTACCCTGAAAATTTCATGACCCTGACCCCAATGACCTTTGACCTGTGACCTACTTTTCGAGACCATGTTTGGCCGGAATCGCGATTCGGCGTATGTCGGCTCGCATTAGCCGCGCGTTTGCAGTCTTTTCGTGGTTTCAAGCGTTCAAACTTGTGATATGATGTTGCCCCCATGCATTAGGGTGGGTGTCAAGGTCACCTGAAGGTCAGGTCAGGTCATTGACCTTTGGTGACCTCGGTTCACTTTTTCGAGTTTTACATGTTTCTAGGCCAGTTTTTGGAGCTGAATTCGAATTTAGCAACCATATGAACGTTTACGAAGTAGTTTTGGTACCTTCGTAACATGTTACGAAGCTGTCAGAGGCGGTTGACACCTACTAGGAATACCCGGCAGGACCCCTACTGGTTGACCTGACCTGACCTGACCCGACCTGGACTAAATGCATAAAGACATCATCTGTAATCAAAACTAACATGATATTCGTGATCAGCGCCCCGAAAAACCCCATAGCAGCCACATTTTACAACGTTCTAGCAGGTCCCGATTTTCCCGACATTTGGGTCATTGACCTGACCTGCAAGGTCAACCAATGACCTAGGACCTTAAAATTAGGTATCATCGGCTTCCTCTCGTCACGGGCAACACGCTCGTTTTTCCGCGAAGCTCTAGCTCGATCAGGGGCGAAACGGCAAGGGGGGGTCCAACGGACCCCCCCCCCCCCTTATACGTTCGCGGCTGGAAAAACACCAATACGGGCGAGGGTTAAGTTGAAAGTATTAATTTGGTTCAAAATGATGATGTAGATAACCTAGTTATTTAAAGCTAAATATCTTATGACGAGAGCGGTTGGCATTTTTGGTATGCAGTGTTATTCATTGAGAACCGGTCGGAGCGTTTGAGTCTTTAATTTAGTGGTCGCCGCTTACTAATCATGCGGCATACACGCCGCACATAACCGCCAATGCCGCAACGCAGCTTAGATTTCGAAGTAAGCATTTAGTCCCACCCCATTGAGCTCTCTTAGAGCCCAGGTACCGCATAAGCCGCCAACAGCCTACTTCATGGAGACCACTTGGGCACGTATTATGGTTAACTCAATCATGTTCCATGAAATAAGCTAAACAATATTTTTATAGTCACCGTGATAATCTTGAAAGAAAGCGTCAAATAGTATCCAGTCTTAATTTGCATGCTTTCAACTTAATGTTAGCGATGGTCTGACATTATCAAACGAGCATGGTTCACATTGATCACGAATTTACTTTATGGAACGTATTTTACTAGAAGAGGGCAAAAACGCTTTATCACCACTCATTGCCAAAGAAGACTGAGGAAGATTTTGGAAATCACGTGAGTTGCATAACGAAATGGCTGCTACCAGTTTACGCGGTCAAATGTGTAAAAATACGCAACACTTCTTCAAAACTGCGATGGCCCATACCTCCTGGGGGCCCATACCTCCCGGGTCTCCCCTACTTGCTTTTCTTTACATCTTTATTTCATGCGTCGTGAAGTACTGGTTTTATTTTTAGTAGCGCAAGACTGCGCAACGTATTATTTTCCTCAAGCAGAGTTAGTGGGAGTCTGCCATTTGAGCATTAGTGGTGCTGCAACACCCCCAAAGGTATAAAGATCGACACTCATGGGGGTTCTGTCTTTGATGGTAAACAGAGTTGCGGGGAGGGTGCGGCGGGAAAAGGGGAGGGGTTCTGTCTCTGATGGTAAACAGAGTTACGGGGAGGGTGCGGCGGGAAAAGGGGAAGGGTTCTGTCTCTGATGGTAAACAGAGTTGCGGGGAGGGTGTGGCGGGAAAAGGGGAGGGGTTCTGTCTCTGATGGTAAACAGAGTTGCGGGGAGGGTGTGGCGGGAAAAGGGGAGGGGTTCTGTCTCTGATGGTAAACAGAGTTGCGGGGAGGGTGTGGCGGGAAAAGGGGAGGGGTTTTGTCTCTGATGGTAAACAGAGTTGCGGGGAGGGTGTGGCGGGAAAAGGGGAGGGGTTCTGTCTCTGATGGTAAACAGAGTTGCGGGGAGGGTGTGGCGGAAAAAGGGGAGGGGTGTGCCGGGGGTGGGCGGTGCGTCGGTGCCGCCGCCGGTGGCGGCGGCCGGCCGCAGTTGGCGCCGGGCGGGCCCGCCGCCATGTGGTGCTCGGCAAGCGGCTGCCGGCTGGCCGCGCTGCTGGTAGCCGTCTGCTCCTCTACCAGCTGCCAGCACATCTCGGCAGGTACGGCTCGACGACCGCCGCCGGCAATGACATTGTTATCTGCACCATCATCTTACTGTGTGGGATGGGAGGTTGTATCTAGTTGAGCAAAGTCGGGTAATATCTCGGAAGACCCTGCAATCAGGCGCGCAGAACTCCTTATAGAATAACCGGCGCGATTCCCAACGCTTTCGATGGATCTCCCCATTAACTCAATGTCCATCCCAGCATGGTTACAATCGCCACCATATCGCCACGTCTGTATGTATTTAACGTCCTGAGACCTTCTGTTTTTAGCATATGCCGAAGTATGCCTTTAGCATTAGCGCGAGCGTGCGGTAAAAGCTTTTTGGATTAAAGCGCATAATGCTTAAGGCAATTGGACAAAGGTTTCGGACCATGGGCAAAACATTAGAGATGTCAATCGGATACCAACTTTTTGGTATACCGATACCAAACCGATACCAACTTGGTAGGTATTTGGTATTTCAATCGTAATGTGTTTGGTATTTTGTTGGTATCATGAACCCTCACTAATGTATAAGAGGCTAAGAAATCGGTATAAAGTTGGTATTTCCCTCATTTTCCCAAGTTGGTTTGGTTTCGGTATTTCCCCACGGTTTTGGTTGGTATTTGGTTTGGTATCAGTAACTATTCCGATTTTCCGTAATTGACACCACTACAAAACATTTTACCAGCGAACTTTTGAAGCATTTCCTGAGAAAGAGGAACCTGCCAAAGCCAAGACAAACTTCGTTTAATAATGATAAAACAAAGACATTGATTTAACATCCAAAGTGTGTTTCGATAAGACAGTGACGCAAGTGCATGCAGTCAGGGCACTATGAGTCTTTAACCCGCGCCCTGCTGGGGGGGGGGGGGTGTTTGAACACCCTCCCGTGTGGTTTTTCGCGAATATCTCAAAACGGCGCGGAGCGCCGCCGTTTTCGGTACACCTTATCATACATCAATTCTACATATTTTGTGAAAATTTCAGACCAAGGTCATTCAAGGTCAGGTCACCAGGTCACTTGAAGTGACCTCACCTCATAAAAAGTTGCAATGTCTGCCATAGCTAACCGAGTGACCGATTGCTTTGAAACTTTCAGCGATTGCTAAGAGCAATAACATGTACAAAATGCATATCTCAGAATTTTGATATCGATGACCTAAGATCACGAAAATTTTGCGACCTCCCCATTATAAGTCAATGGGAGAAAATTGAAATGCGCCTCTTTTGGACGAAAGACATTTTAAACACTCCCAAATACTGATTGAATGGTGTGAAACGTTTTTTTGAGCATGATTATGATTATAATGGAAATCAGATGGATTAGTAACCTTTTGCTCATAACTAATGTAAGCCAAAAACAAATCCAAATACTCCCAAATACTGAATTACAAGTACGACACACTGGAAATGAAAATGGTGTCCGTGACCCCTCTTTATGCCCCTGAGGTCATCTCAGGTCACGAAAGGTATCTAACAGTTTTTCGCAAATAACTTTTGATAGAGGCATGCTAGAGTGATGACAACGCCTTAGATGTGTTCAGCTCGACGATACGGATCGACTGGTATGCAACATGACCCTTTTCGGTCAGGTCATGGCCTTGACCTGAGGTCAAATTTTCAAGTTGACCTTTCAAGGTCAAGGTATTGTTCATTCGATGCGTCATGACGAGAGGAACACGATGCCGGTAAAAGTAAGCTCATACAAGGCTTGGGTCAAAAGTTATCGCAGAAAACTGTTTCCGAAAAAATCGGTTATTTTTTCAGTTTTGCCCCCTGCAGGCAAAACCGTTGACGTTAGGTCAAATCTGAGAGAATTGTTCAGAAAGGGCGTTATTAGGGCTATCGAATGCACTTTTCCGCGGCGTTTTAGCTCTATTGGTTCTCGAGTCATGCGTTGGCTTCTTGGAAATTGTCGACATTCGACCTTAAAATCGGCGAAATTTTGCCTTCAATTACCTCTGGTGACCTGACCTTTGACCTTACCAAAAAAGTGACCGAAGTGATATCGTCATTATTTTTGGCGCTCTTTCGAACGCCGCCTTTCGCGTATCGCTACGTGGCCCAGGAGCCGAGTTAGAAGGGGGTGTTTAAACACCCCCAGCAGGGCGTGGAAATTCAGGACCCCCAGCCGGGCGCGGGTTAAATTGGTGGTTTACCAAGTAATGCGCGGTTCGTTCATTTTGTTCGACGAATGACAGGTATGTATGTACTTGTACATGAACCACCTACTTTCCTGAAACGTCCACGTTTTGGCAGTTGCTGATGTTAAAAACGAAGGTAGCGCCGGGTGCCACGGTGACCTCTGTGGATGACTTCGTCTTTTTGTGGCCGAAAACTCTGACCCATTCATGATGCTAGTGCACAGAGCCCTCTGAACATGCACGTCTGCTATAGCGTAGCGTTCAAGACATGCCACAGACTTGTGCCCAGTTAGCTGTGCTACCTATTCGCGTGGGCATCCGGTGTCTAGAGCTCTTTTTACGCACGTTTTGCGTGCCGAGTGATTGCTTCTTTTTCCCCGATGCCTGCTTTTTCACACGCTTCTTTGAGGAATGAAGCTAGCTTATTTTTCCCCATGGGAGCCTTCTTGTACCATTGAAATGTTGTGTCTTTCTCTGGGGACCAGCAGTTGTTTACCGCCAAGAAAAAGGGACTTTCGTCATCCAGCATTTCCTTTGGGCGGTGTACGGCAAGCTTCTTGTGAGCCTCGATGGGACATCTTCTGGAATCTTCTTCGTTTTTGAAGACTTTTGGGTTGAACACCCGAGCACCGGAAGTACTTCCTCCGTCTCGGGTCTTGGTCGCTCGTTAAACTCTAGGTACTCGGACCCTGTCTCATCCAGGGGTAGCCAGTAACAGTTGGTGGCATTAGGCCAAATTGGCGCTAAAAACTACTACCCCATTGGGTTTCCATGTTAAATCGGCCTTTTTCAAGCGAGCCCCACACGTAAGCTAAAAGATAAAGTGCCAATATTATTGTGGGAAAAGGTAGCCTCAAGCTTCCTCTACAACCTTTTTATCTAGCGTTTTTCGATGCAGAGGCCATAACAGGTCCAAAAAGCATTGGACGCTGCCCGAGGTACCAAAAGCCCCTCCATTAGAGCACAAATTCCTGCGCATGCGCATATTACCTCAACCCTGTACTAGCGTAAATTAGCGATACTGCTCACGGACTCGATCAGCCAATCAGCGTCCCCAATGACATTAATAGATGTCGCTAGCATCACGCTAATCTTACTTGCCAACAAGGCCCTAAATAGGATAGCCCAACCGACACAAGAAAAACCAAACACCCACCGATCGAATGATACCCCTGTTGGCGTTGCGGAGCCCGCGGGTCACCCTAGTATGCTCTGTTTATTGCAGGTGGCTGTGAGGCACCACAGCTGACTATTAATGGCACAAGATTTTCGTCTGACGTAAACTACAGCAAAGCAAAGGTATGTGCAATAGGGCTGGTCGAAGGTAACTTTTTTTTAAGTGAAGTGATTTTCAGACGGACTAATTCATATAACGGTAAAAAAAATAGTCTTACGATTAAAAAAAAAAGAATTGGGCTCGCCGTCGGAGTTTTTGTTGGGTGAGACTAAATGCTTACTTCGAAATCTAAGCTGTGTTGCGGCATTGGCGGTTATGTGCGGCGTGTATGCCGCATGATTAGTAAGCGGCGACCACTAAATTAAAGACTTAAACGCTCCAACCTGTTTTCAATGAATAACACTGCATACCAAAAATGCCAATCGCTCTCGTCATAAGATATTTAGATTTAAATAACTAATTTATCTGCATCATCATTTTGAACCAAATTAATGCTTTCAACTTAGTACTCACTCATTCCTTCCTTCGTTGGCTCCAAACAGTACTTCGATTGTCTGCGTATGCCAAATCCCGCACCTGTATACGACTGGTGTATATAAAGGCCGATGTAAGAATTTCAATAGACTCTCGCATGCGATTTCCTCGCTACCCAAAAAGTCTGTTTCAGTCATGCTATCAAAACATGGTATGTCAGCCCTCTCACCAGCTTGTAGTGCCCCTGACCGTCACCGACTCCCTTCCCTCCTTAAAAGCCTAGTTTCCCTCCATCATCTCTATTAGATTTAGGTGATGCTCCGACAAATTCACAAACAAGACCAAACTTGTTCGGAGTTCGGACTGTGAGTTAACCCTCGCCCTTTAGGAGGGGGGGGGGGTCGAACGGACTCCCCTCGGTATTTCGCAAATAACTCGCGTAAAAAGCGGCCGATCACGACGTAACTTTTAGTACTCTCGCGTTGATCAATTTTACACCTACCCTGAAAATTTCATGACCCTGACGCAAATAACCTTTGACCTGTGACCTACTTTTCGAGACCACGTTTGGCCGGAACCGCGATTCAGCGTATGTCGGCTCGCATTAGCAGCGCGTTTGCAGTCTTTTCGTGGTTTCAAGCGTTCAAACATGTGATATGATGTTTCCCCCATGCATTAGGGTGGGTGTCAAGGTCACCTGAAGGTCAGGTCAGGTCATTGACCTTTGGTGACCTCGATTCACTTTTTCGAGTTTGACATGTTTCTAGGCCAGTTTTTTCGAGCTGAATTCGAATTAAGCAACCACATGAACGTTTACAAAGTAGTTTTGGTGCCTTCGTAACATGTTACGAGGCTGTCAGAGGCGGTTGACACCTACTACAAATACCCGGCAGGACCTCTACTGGTTGACCTGACCTGACCTAACCCGACCTGGCCTAAATGAATGAAGACATCATCTGTGATCAAAACTAGCATGATATTCGTGATCAGCACCCCGAAAAACCCCATAGCAGCCACACTACGACGTTCTAACAGGTCCCAATTTTCCCGCCTTTTGGGTCATTGACCTGGATGACCTAGGACCTTAAAATTGGGTATCATCGGCTTTCTCTCGTCACGGGCAACACGCTCGTTTTTTCCGCGAAGCTCTAGCTTGATCAGGAGCGAAACGGCAAGGGGTTATACCTTATACGTTCGCGGCTGGAAAAACACCAATACGGGCGAGGGTCAAGTTGAAAGTATTAATTTGGTTCAAAACAATGATGTAGATAAGTTAGTTATTTAAATCTAAATATCCTATGACGAGAGCGATGGACATTTTTGGTATGCAGTGTTATCCATTGAAAACAGGTCAAAGCTATTGAGTTTTTAACCCGCGCCATGCTGGGGGGTGTTTGAACACCCCCCCCTTGTGGTTTTTCGCGAATATCTCAAAAACGGCGGCGCGGAGCGCCGCCGTTTTTGGTACACCTTATCGTACATCAATTCTACACATGTTGTGAAAATTTCAGACCAAGGTCATTCAAGGTCAGGTCACCAGGTCACTTGAAGTGACCTCACCTCATAAAAAGTTTCAATGTCTGTCATAGCTACACCGAGTGACCGATCGCTTTGAAACTTTCAGCGATTGCTAAGAGCAATAGCATGTACAAAATGTATATCTCAGAATTTTGATATCGATGACCTAAGGTCAGGTCAATTTTGCGACCTCCCCATTATAAGTCAATGGGAGAAAATTGAAATGCGCCTCTTTTGGACAAAAGACATTGTTCGGATAGTCTTAATAGTTATTTCCTCGCGTTGTGTTACGCTTAGCTTTTTAACTTAATGCTTTATTTATCTTAACTTCGCTTAACTTTCTTAAAACAACTTAATGGCCTCGTTCTCATTTTTCTATATATTTTCTTTTTCCTCGTTCTCTCGTCTTCCCGACCTCAATACGATAATCATCACAAAACATATGTGCACGCGACATGTGTGATAAAAGAACCTCTGTAACATCCCCTCGACTTTGAATTGACACGAATTCAACCAATTCTACATAGAGGTATCACTTTCACATTTCCACTACTTTGACTACTGGCTACTACTTCACTGGAGCACATCGATGTGAATCAGCTTCACGACTGGTCTCGTCACGACCTTATTGTGCAGTTTCACTGTAGCCACACGCACGTGGCCATCTTTCCCCGGTAACACTTCCTCGATTCGCCCCAGTGGCCACTGACTCCTCGGGGTATTTGCGTCGATCACCAGGACCAAATCGCCTGATTTCAAGTCGGTCTGAGGCTTCAACCACTTTGACTTCGCCTGGAGAGCTGGTACATATTCTCGAAGCCAACGCTTCCAAAACTCTATGGATAGTTGCTGGAGCCGTTTCCAGCGCTGCCGAAGAGTTGTAGCGTCATCCTGTGATGCCGGTGAGGTCTCGATGCTAGCCGTCCCCAAGATGAAGTCTGCTGGCGTCAGTGGCTTCTCATCGTTGGCGTCAGCTGAGACGACTGTGATTGGTCTGGTGTTCAGCAGTGCCTCGGCTCGACAGAAGGCAGTTTGAAGCTCCTCATCGGTAAGATCGGCCCTCTCGAGTGTTCTTTTCAGAGCCCGCTTGGCGCACTTGATCATTGCCTCGCACGCGCCGTTGAAGTGGGGAGCTCCTGGTGGGGTGAATTGCCACCTGATACAATGCTTTGACAGCTCTTCCTGCACTTTGCTTGAGTCAATGCTTCTTACCAAGCACTTCAGTTCCTTCGTGGCTCGGACAAAGTTCCTGCCGTTATCGGATGTGATCTCAGACGGTTTGCCTCTTCTGGATACAAATCTCATGAGAGCTCTGATGAAGCTGTCCGTGTCTAGCCCATAGGCCATCTCGAGATGAACAGCTCTTGTTTGTAGACAGCTGAACAGGCACAAGTATCGTTTCTGTCGTGTCTTGCCTCTTCCTTGTCTGGTTTCGAATGGACCTGCATAGTCTACTGCGCATTTGTCAAACGCTCGAAACGATGGACAAACTTGACTGCCGATCTTAGGAGCCATCAGCTGTGCTTCCGGTTTCTTGCGGCCCTTTTGACAGACGATGCAGTTTCTCACCACTGACTTGATGAGTTGACGGGCTCCTGGTATCCAGATGTGACGTCTGACTTCGGACAGAGTGTGCTCCGTCCCCATTGCATGGTCTGCGTCCTCATGGTGCTGTCGAATGATCAGCTTGCTGATGTGATGTCTCCTTGGTAAGATAGCCGGATGCTTTGAATCAAACGCCAACTCAGACTTCTGAAGCCGGCCTCCGACTCGCAAAATTCCATCTTCATCCAGGAAAGGGGTAAGTTGTTTGATCGAGCTCTGCTTACGTGACTTCTTGCTTGAGATTCCCCCTGTTACTTCGCTCTCTCTTCGTAGTTCTTTGATTTCAGAACCGTACGCCTCCTCTTGTACTTGACGTATCCAGAACTTCTCGGCTCTCAGCAGTTCGTCTGGGTCTAGCTCTACTCTCTGAGCTTCTTGGACTTCATGTTCTTCACTTGCTGGTTCTACTCTACACCTCACCGCCTGGATGAATCGCCACACCCAAGCGGTTACACGCACTAGTCTGCGCCATGTAGAGAAGTTCTCTGGTCGAAGACGGAATTCGTCTGGCATGTCTGGAACAGAAGTTGCCAGCACTGTTTTCTGAGGTGCTTGTTTCTTGAACTCCGTTTGATCATGCTCTTCTTTGTTGAACTCTTTCTTCAGAGGCCACTGATCTTTTCCTTTCAACAGGTAGGCCGGCCCATGCCACCAAAGTTCATTGACGCGCAGCTGCTCTATCGTCAGACCTCTCGTTGGCAGGTCGGCTGGGTTTTCGACACCAGGTACGTGTTGCCACTGGTCAGGCTTGGTCATCTCTCTGATCTCAGAGATACGATGGGCCACGAATGCTTGGAAGCGGCGAACTTCATTTCGGAGCCAACACAAGACGTCCATGGAGTCGGACCAGAAGTGAACGTCATCAACTGGTATCTTGAGGACTTCACAAACTTTCTTCACAAGACGTACTCCGAGAAGTGCCCCCATCAGTTCCAAGCGTGGAATGGTGTGCTGCTTTGCCCGTGGTGTGACTCTAGCACGTGAAAGAACTAGATGTGAGGAGCGCTCGCCACCATACTCAGACACTACGTAAATTGCTGCTGCGTAAGCCTGTTCTGATGCGTCGCAAAAGACGTGTATTTCTTGCTTTGGTGTTCCTTCATATGGATGCAGGCATCTTGGGACTGAAAGACTGCCGAGGTCACCGAGCTCAGAGAGCCACTCTTTCCACTTGCCTTCTAGGTCTTCTGTTAGTGGATCATCCCAGTCCACGCCTGCGGCCCATGTGTCTTGGAACAGCATCTTCGATCGTACTACAAATGGTGAGAACAATCCTACTCAAATGGATATTTAAACAAGCAGAGAGGGTCGAAGACTGCTGCCATCTCCTTCAAGCAGCTTCTCTTGGTGAGAATCTCAGTCGAGCGTTGTCTTGAAGAATCGACGGACAAGCGGTCTTCTTTTGTCGACCAGACAACGCCCAGCGTTTTGGTGGAGGCTGAACTCCTTTCTTCAATGATATGTTCAGCTTCATTCGCACGGTCTTCTTCAGGAATGGTGCTCATCACCTCTTCACGGTTTGACA